TTTTCATTTTCGTGAGAACTTTCAGACTTTTTGTTTTAAGTTGTAGAAGAAACTCTGTTTTGCTGTTCAAATAGATTTATACGTTTATTTTTGCTTTATAGCCGAACAACCTCGCTACTATGCCTAGACGTGAGCCTGGGGGTGAAGCCTTATCTTTTCCCTCTTCCAGCACTCCATACAGACCTCAAAGCCGAACATGGCTTTAGAATCACTTTAAATTATCCGATCAAATGTCGCCAGAAGTATGTTGAAAGACCATCAATAAACCCTAACCGCTTCTATGCTGTTTGTTGCGAATGTTCTCATGCCCCTTAATCGAGCAAAAACTAAGCGCCGAGATGAGATGAGACCAATTCCGAATTCGTGAAACGTGTGAAACTCGACTCTACTTTGCTATTACAACGCCACAAAAGTGTCTTTTTAGAAAAAGCAGTGCATTGGGATCGCCGAGGTCTAAGATATGGATAGTCACTAAAATTTGAAGAATGTAGTAGAGTCTTTGTTTCCAAAGATTTGAAGTGTGATGGAGATAAAGGATTTGTACTGCAACAAATCATGATACTGTTAATGTTACTTGTAAAAGGGCCCTATTTCGCCCTCATCGTCTCAATTTCCAACATCGAATAGAGAAAAAGACGGATTCGGAATTGGTTTCGTCTCATCTTTCGTTAAGGACCCAACATTTCCTAATTTCCAGATGCTGGGAGTTTTTAGTTTCCAAGATCAAACAACTTTGACGAATCTCAATGGCATTAATTTTCTAAATTCTAGCAGTATAAGGACTTTGGCAACTTTCGAGTTCTGCATATTGTCATCTTAATCATGAAAATGTAAAATTCGCTTCATGAATCTCAAAAATGTTCCATGTACAAATTCTCAGTGGCTTTAAGCACTGATCGTATCGCCCTAGTTCAGCCAAAATAAATTCAATCTTTTCCCGGACGGCGAACTATATTGTTAAGAAGAAAAGTAAGCCTCTTAGTAGTCTCTTCTATACTGAGTACACTCTTGATGCAGAAGCTACAGTAATGACTGGATAACCTTTGTCACAAGATGGTTTATCAGGAACCCGTGAGATGATCCAGTACTTCCCTTCCAAATGCTGCGGAACTGAAGAACCTTGTGCGAAAAATGTAGTATTTTCTCGTTATGCGAACTAGCGGAGTCCGCTAAAGTAGCTGTTGGACACGATAGGACGGGATCTGATGATCACTTGGGTACTTGAGAATTAAAAGCTATTAAAGGCGACGTTACCACTTCTGTCACTTGTTCTCTCTTCATCAATCGAATAATTCAAAAAATGTAGTAAAGTCTCTTTTTCTCCATCTATGAGAGATAAGAGATTTATAGTAGTACCATCAATTTTCAGTCATGTGTGCACAATAATTCAGATTTTTTTTGAGAAGAAGTGGGGCTGTTGTGCACCTATGTGACCATCTAGCCAACGGCTTCATCTTAGTCGTTGTCAATAGAAAACATCACACTTTGCCTATGCGGATTTGCAATAGTTCAAAAACATAGCGACGTCCATCCTCTTCAAATGTCTAAGTAGGCAATCAAGGTTGGTAAATGATAAGCAAAATTTGAATCTCAGATGCGAAGTGAACGCACGTATCATTTATACATGCGGCGTGCTCTACCATTACACCACCAAATCGTTGCTCTGCTGTCACTCTTACTGCGATATAAAGTAGTAAAGCTATATCAGCGTGTGGGTACTGCTTTGGAGATTTCTTTTCTGACTTCCGTAGTATGAGGATTGTAAGGTATCTCATTCTCGGCAGAGCATTTCATAGCGCTAACTAGATTTTCTCCTTTCAATGGACTGTTTTCTAAAACTCTAGTCATAAGATATCGATGTAATCAGAGACTGTTTCAAACCTTTTCAAGATTTGCTATGTCAGCTACCTACGTACGTTCCGACCGTTTCACCCGCCTCATCAAAGCCACACGCCCCACGAGTCACTTCATCTGGTGGTATGGAACATGGAAACATCGTAGGTCCAGATAACGTGAAATGTTGCCACAACCATTTTTGTGTCGATGGGCTGCGGCTGCTATCAGGCATCATTTTTTTTCTCCTATTCACGTAGCCTTCATGTTTCTAAGATGTAAAACAACCTCAAAATTTATTGTTCATGATGTAAATGGATGACAGATGTTTTTTCTTCTCAGAAATATGTTGCAAAGCTTTAATGCGGCTTGTTCTCTTCCATGCAACTCAAATGCAGTAAAGTCATTATGTTGATTTTCCTATCCAGTTGTATGCAGTTGGGGCTTCAATGATTATCTTTCCACGAGCTAATGGAGTATCGAATCCGTTTATTATTCATAACAATAAGATAATTTTTGCTTTGTGTCAGGCTGAAGTCGGATATTCCTACATACTTTTGTCATAATCGAGTTGTTTTATCTCCCTTGGATAGTGCTTCATGGCGTAATAATCAAATCGTCAATGAAACAAGATCATTTAGCTGCTGCATTGCTTTTCTACTTCATTTTATCCCACTCCAGCTCTAGCATGACATTCTGAAGTTTGATGGCGAATATTTTAGCAGACTTTTCCGGCTCGTTCTCCTCACTGCTGTCCATAATAATATCATTGAAGGAAAGTAAAATTACGGTTGTGTAGTTTTTGTACTATTTAGATCTATGTGAACGCCTCTTGTTATCCTTTTCATACTTTTGGCATGAAATCAATGGATTCAATGACCGTGTGGGAAGTTTTCATCTGACCGATTTTCTTGAATATCTTGCACCGGCCTTGCTTCACTATAGTCATGTTCCTTGAAGTTCTCGACGACGACTTTCCAAATGTTTCGAAGATCGTTTGCTAGGCTGCAGATGTTGCTATTGTGTAAGGTCTTCATTATTCTGCAGCAACACGATCACCATCCAACTGATTGTTATTGTTGAGATTCTCGATATCTTAGATTTTTACAAACACGATGTAAAAAGCTCATTTTGTCCCAAAGATTACCGATAACTTCACTACTATTTGATGTATTTATTCCGCTTTTTCACCAGTTAGATAAAATGTCGTTCTAAGTGATAGAAACCTCTAATAGTGGCATTCCGTAATGGCACGAAGAATGTCCCTCATGACGTAGCGGTGTGGCCATGCTGATTCTCGAGAGACAGGTAGATTTCAAGAGAGTTGTTATTAATCCATTATCGCTTTAAATTAGCTAGTCCGTCTGGACACCTAGCAACAGTTACCTCGGTCCTGTAAGTGACGAAGCTGCGACAAAGTTCGAAGATCGCTTCATCGAGTGAACAATCTTGCTTAGTCATTTTACTGAGAAAAATTAGCAAAATGAAGCATAAATTGCTAGTTGTGAGTTGCTCGTGCACGTCTGCGCTGGCCTTTTAGCTAAAGCGTAAGGGGTCACATTGCGCTTGATGTCTTCAGCTCATGGCTCTCTTTCTTGTCACAAAATGAGTGTACAAATTGACCATTTTCCATATTATATATTCAGTAATAGCGTTTATATAGAGCCTGCCAAGAAACTAAGATTTATGACGTATGGATATTTATCGATATTGACTTTTCACTTTGTCGCTTTCTCTTCGTTCTGCAAAAAGAATAAATCTTTCTCCAAACGAAGCGATGTCTCGTTACCGTTTCAAGCTCTAGAACAACAGCGTCATCGATTCGAGCAGGATCACCAATCTTTTCTAGTTCTTCTTCTTTTTTGTGGTAATATCCATCGATGGTCACCTATATCTAACGTTGGGAATAGGGCCACTGGATTTGTGGTTAATGGTTCTAGTCATCATGATAGACTCAGCCACCTACTCTACGTGCTCATTCCATTTCACTCTCTTAGCCCCAATTTCGACCACTTGAGACCAACCTAGATCTGTAGTAATAGTCTTTGAGAAAAGTTAGACCTTTCTTGTGGGGCTTCTTCACATCTCTACAAAATTCTTCAGTCTCTTCGCCATCCTGGCTTGACAAAGGTCAAGATAATTTCCAAAGTCCATTTTGGTTCACATATTACTTGACGTGACATTAGACTCCTTACTAATCTAGATAAATCACGGTTTATGGCCGGCTTCACGTCGACAACAAACCCAGCATCTACCTCCATTACTGTCAGATGTTCCTATGAACAGTACTTCCACGGCATCGTGAGTGTCGTTTGATCTGCGCAGTTCCTCTCACATTTAGAGCGCTTGCAGATACGATTCATTATTACACAAGATTTCACGTTTTGAAAGCCTTGAATGGTCCCGAGATTCTTTAATATCTTTCTTATTTTCTGTTTAGCATCGCCGTCTCATCAACTACTCTTTGGTGCTCAAAAAAATGAAGCACTTCGTTTTTTACTGCTTCTGACGAAAGTAACCGTTGGTAGCCTATCTATGCGTTCTAGCTAGGACTAGGAACTATTTACGGAAACGTGCTTGCATCATTATCCACCTGTTTCATAGATCTTGAGGAGTTATGTTTGGACAAACATGTTTTCGCGAATCATATTCACTATATATAAAATGCATGAAAGAGTGACCGTTTGTTTGGAGTGGACTCGATATTTTTTGTGTTGGTGAGAAAAGTTCATGTTCAATGACAGTTTCGGGATGAAAGATAATTTGTGGCAACTGATTTTGTACTGTTTACAGATAAAAAATCAATCAGAATGCCTGACTATCAGTTCTTCTTTTCACAATTTTAGATGTGTAAAATAGAACAAAGCCTTCAGTGCATTGACCAGCTTGAGTGCAGCTGCTACCACAATTGTTCGAGCCTCATTTGTAGACGAATTTTAGTTGTTAACGTGTGGAGTAATCAGCCTAAGATCTTTTTCGCATTGTAAGAGATTTGAAACTTCCATTTTAATATTTAGAGAATTTTGAGATCCACATAATAGATGCTAAATAACGTAGTACAACATTTGAATTTTTCCGTAAAGTAATGTTGAGGCCTTTTATTTTCTACAATTCACTGTTTCCTGGAAATACTATGTTATCCAGTAATGAATGGTAGCAAAGCGGTAGCCTCTGTGGTGTAATGGTAGCACGTGCCCCCTATAAGGGTGAAACGCAGGTTTAACTCCTCGTTTGAGGTCGGGATGAGTATTTGCAAAATCATACTCACTGCTAAAGTAGTCGAATTAAGAATTTATCACAGACTATTCGGTTTTCTAGGAAAACATAGAATTTTAATATTGAATTTGCATTTAAATTTCAAAATCAAAATTTTAGAGGATGACAAGGCTAGAATCAAGCTAGTTATCGTTGGTTTTGTTCATTCTGGCTTGTATTCTACTATTTTTGTTCTCTTTATGAAGTTATATGTCTCTGCGTTACTCTCTGATAAAATCCAATTCAACGCCACTACGGAGAATTTTCATTGTCGTTTCTTCTTCCTTTATTTGATATGTTTTCTTTCTTCTCCTACTGGTGCAAGTGAGACTCACTTGCAAATTGCCACCTTAACACTGAAGTTTGTCTTCTAATGAGAACAACTGGCATGATAAGATGGCAGTACTGCTTTAATTCTATCTACGATATCAATTTATTTATTAATATATGTTTGTATCTCCACTGATTCCTGTTCACCCATTCCATTTCTCTTTCAGGACATGGCGAAGATATTGATCCTCTTTCAACTGTCACAATCTTCTTCGTCGTCTTCCGGAAAAGTTTTTATTTTGAACCTTCTATTTTCTGCAATATACTATTCTTCAAAAAAAGTGTTATCCAAGAATGAGTGATAGCAGAGTGGTGGCCAGGACGGTGTAGTGGTAGCGAGCGCCCTGGTAAGAGTGAAGCACGGGTTCAGCTCCCTCCTTGGTCGAGTTATTGACCTCCCAACATTCTTAGATGAGTATGTGACATCGTATCGCTGATAAACCGACTTAAAATTTATTACAGAGTATGTGATTTTCCGGGAAAAAATTGAAATTTTAAAAGTTGCATGACAAGCCAAAGATTGAGCCAGTTGCCATTGGCTAAATCAATGAGCTGCATTTCATCAGAGGCATGAGCAATGAACTGCATTTCATCAAACATCCTGTTCATTCGAAGGTTTACTACTCTCTTATTTCTGTCCTCTTTATGAGGGTATCTGTAAATGTTATTACTTTCTGATAAAATGCGATTCATTGGTCCAGCCACTATTGGAATTTTCGATATCGCCTCTTCTACTTTAAATTTAATATGTGTTAATCTTTCTCCTCCTACTGGTTAATGTTGAACTTTCTTGCATTTTGCCACCTTAAAATTTGAACTTCGTCTTCTGATGCGAACAATCGATATGACAAGGTTTCATTTTTTTCTCGGTTTCATCTACAATATTAATCTGTAATTAGGTGTCTGTATTATCAATGACTATTCGTATATTTCATCATTTTATTAGAATCTCGAGAGGATATTGATCCTCTTCGCTCAACAGTGACATTTTTTCGTCGTCCTCTGGAAAATATTCCCACTTATGTCTTTTATCGACATATTATAGGTTTTCTCGTTGCCTAACGATGTGGAAGTAGACGTCTGGATTCTGGTTCGAGCTTGTTTGCTCGTAATTAAAGTGAGCTGCCAATTTGCCTCTTTCATCGCTCCATTCGCATCAGACAAATGTGAGTTTAGCTGTTGCTTCGTGCGTCTTCTTCCCATCCGTAGTAATTTACTTATGTTGGCAGATGTCTGAACGTTCGTCAGCGTCAACGCGTTCGCCTGAAGACGAACTAATCTTCGAAAAATCTGTCAAAATCAAAACAATGGGTGAAGAAGCGCATGAAAGAGGTGGGAGTTTTTTTTACTAGTCCATGATAAAGTTCAGCTTTTCTTTCGAGTGATTGCTATAAAAACCATTAACGAAAGCTTTCTTACCTTTTTGTTCTTAAATTACTTTTTTGTATATTTCTTGTCACTTTCTTTCTTCATTTCCTTTCTCAACATTCTAAATGATAAAGATTATTTTAAAAGCGTAATTATGTGCCAACTGAACAATGTTGGCAGGCAAGGAGAAGGCCGGTAGACCTTTTTCTTAAATTATAATAAGCCAGTATTATTTGCCGCACCGTTTATTTATCAAGAGATTTTTTTCATAAAGCATGGAATCGCAAGAAGTGGGTAGAGACTGGTTTACATGATCGAAACACTTTCTTCTTTTCTCTAATCGTAATTTGCAGATGAGAACTTTTCACAAAAAGAAAGTCTTCATTCGTAAGAGGTGTGAGGCTTGTGAAAGCCTCCCAAACTTAATGAGTTCTAAGGAAATCTTGGTTTGGTACCGATAAATTAGAGAGTTGAGTCGCATCATCGTACGCACTTCATGCTGCTCATCATCACGATCAAACACATTTCGCCTTTCGCCGTCGACGGCGCCATGCGTTTGGGTACCGATCATCGGTAATTTGCATGAAACGGTAAAGCCACGTATTTTCACCATCCGCCACTCTGCTCCGCACCCTGTCTCGTCATTTTCACTTCCACTCTTCTGTTTCATCGATTTAGTCTCTTGCAAATGAAAATTGGAATTCTCGTCAAATCAATTTCACCTCTTTGTGCTGAATTTTCAGGGCGCTTTCCATTTGCGTTTTTACTACACATTGCATCGTTTCACTAAACTCACTTACCCTCATTCTTTTCCCGTCAAGAAAAATTAATAAAAACAAAGAGATTAATCTATGCATCGTCAGCCGAATTTCTACAACTACTTCCTCTTGTCATTTGTGATGTTCAAGATAATAACGGTATCATGCAGTTAAGCACAGCGATCTTTGGCTGAATGTATCTTTGCTGTCGGTGCTAAAGAAATTGTAACATTACTTTATTTATTTATCCATTTGCACGACCCGTGATCATAAATTTCATTGTGTGGATCCCACTACTTCTAACATTCAGTTCGTTTTTCGTCTTCTTCTTGAATGATGTAGAAAAGTGGTGGAGCATGTTCCCTTGCAGTCTTGAGCATAGCCTAGCTGTGGCGTTCCATAGGGCGTTCTTTTCGGCTGCCAGGGCAGGGAGTGTTGGTGGGGGGGAGGGGATGGAGCCGGGCTTCACGCGCTCCGCCTTGAGCATCACAACCAGTCGGCCACGACACCCCCGAAGAAGTTGTAATAACGATGTCTTATTACTCAGCCATACATGGAGGTTGCACATCGTAATCACCTATATCACATGTTATGCCACTGATCGTCAAGAGGCGTGAGCGGAGCACAGTGGTGAGTTTCGTTGAACATGATACCTTTTTTTTGGAATTCTTGGAAAGATTCTCGCTACTAGCAGTCTTTCTGCTGAGCGCTTGACATCCGGATGAGTCCAGTAGCTGATTGCTCTTGTCCATCGGTTGTCATTATAAAGTATTGCATGTCCATTCCACCTAATTTTCAACAATTTGCCTGTAGAACAACGCATTTGATTTTTGATTGCTGATGGAAATTGATTTCGGATCCCTTTTCTTATTTGCGAGATGCGAGATATAATAGCATCAACCTTTCGACAACGTATTCGATATCGCTAGGTGATTTTTCAATTTGCTTACGTAACTACCAGCTTTCTGGCGCATATGTTAAGGCAAGAAGAGTTTTGAAACGAGAACGTGGGCTCTGAGCCGGGTGCTATTCGTTCTCCAAAATTTAGCAATCCCTTTGCTTTCATTCTGCCCAAACCTGCTGTAGTGTGGTCCATTCGGGGTCACAGATACTCATGCGCACTTATTTTACTGCACTGGCTTTTGATACACACGTATAACTTGTTGAGTTGTGATCTCAAAAGCTGGATAGTTATAGATAATTTGTCAGCCTCCTGCAGAATGGACAGGAGCATAATTATTGGACTTGCCTCTCAACTGGTCATCTCTGGTAATCTCTAGGTCATCGTAGGCTTTTGCTAAATTTGACCCGTGGAGTGCAAAAGTATGTGCCATATGGGCGCAGCAGAAACAAAGACTCCGTCCTCTAAATCCATTTAGGTCTTAGGAAAGTATAAGGTCGCTTTTGGTCACGTTTGAATCTACTATCCGCTACTTGAAAACATACTACGGGATCTCACGGCTCACCGACCAAAGATCTCTCTGGGAAAGAGATTTGTGAGTACATCGTAAAAATTTATATAAATTTCAATAATTGCCAATTCTTGTTCATGCACGCCTTCCTTGACATAACATTGGCTAGCAGGACATTTGCCTCACTTCCTATTAAAGCCACTCCATATGAGGTCAATCTGAAATATTTTGCAAGACATTAGCCAGCAGGAGTATTGAGTTGCCTACTGACAACTATCTACGGTATCAACTTGGAAAAAAGACATTGAACAACGTGACTTGTGTTCGTCTTCACGAGAGACAGCTTTCTAACCCATGGTTTCCTTGACTGCTCTGTGCTTCATGAAAACTAACAACCAACAAAGCTGTCATGTGCTCAGTACCAAAGAGTTATATTCTAGTACTTGATGAGACCATGCAACGATCAACATAAGATGAAACAATACAGGATCCGTATGACCGTTATCAAATCTAACTCTATAAACCATCAAGTAGAGGACGATCATTCATATGCTCAAAAACTCTGCCTCCGTTGTCAAAAAGTCGTGTCAACCTCGCCAACGTGTTTTCGGTCGCCTGAAGTCAAATGTGCCACTTGTTCGTATGAAACCATTAATTTTTTTCACTTTCTAACAGAAGAAAGAATGCCCTGGTAACTGACGCAACTTTGTATTGATAAACACAATGAGAGAGGATTGATACATGTGGTCTCTTAGAGCAGGAATGCGACTTATTTGTCGACTGCATATCAAATCGCGCGCGAACTTCTTAATTATCTAACGGCAAGGAGCATTCTTTTAGCAATACAGGATTATACCTAAGAGGACTGAGTGGTATGCAAGTCCGACATGTGACGAGAATTGAACCCGTGTTTCACCCTTACCGGGGGCGAGTAATACGCCTGCACCACCGAGGAATCGTTTCGCTACCACTCATTCTCTAATATCTCTATGATAGCTATCATCCACCACTCTCTACCAGGCGCCTCCGTTATGGGTGAAAGTCGGGTTCAATTCCCGTCTGAGGTCGAATTTTTGCTTACCACTCAATTATCTTAGGTATATTTGAAACATCGTA